TAACCCTAAACCCTAACCTAACCTACCTATAACCTAACCTAACTAACCTATAACCTAACCTAACCTAAACTAAAATAACCTAACCTATAACCTAACCTAACCTATAACCTAACCTAACCTAAAACCTAACCTAACCTAACCTAACCTAACCTAACCTAACCCTAACCTAACCTATAACCAACCTAAACCCTAACCTATACCTAACCTAACCTAAACCTAACCTAACCCTACCTAACCTATAACCTAACCTAACCTACCTAACCTATAACCTAACCTAACCTAACCTAACCTAACCTAACCTATAACCTAACCTAACCTAACCTAAACCTAACTAAAACCTAACCTAACCTAACCTAACCTAAACTATAACCTAACCTAACCTAACCTATAACCTATAACCTAACCTAACCTAACCTAACCTAACCTAACCTAACTATAACCTAACCTAACCTAAACCTAACCCTAACCTAACCTAACTAAACCTAACCTAAAACCTAAAACCTATAACCTAACCTAACCTAACCTATAACCTAACCTAACCTATAACCTAACCTAACCTAACTATAACCTAACCTAACCTAACCCTAACCTATAACCTAACCTAACCTAACTATAACTAACTAACCTAACCTAACCCTAACTAACCTAACCTATAACCTAACCTAACCTAACCTAACCTATAACCTAACCTAACCTAACCTATAACCTAAACCTAACCTATAACCTAACCTAACCTAACTAACCTATAACCTAACCTAACCTAAACCTAACCTAACCTATAACCTAACCTAACCTAACCTAACCTATACCTAACCTAACCTAACCTAACTAACCTAACCTAACCTAACCTAACCTAACTAACCTATAACCTAACCTAACCTACCTAACCTAACCTAACCTAAACCTAACCTATAACCTAACCTAACCTAAACCTAACCTAAACCTATAACCTTAACCTAAACCTAACCTAACCTAACAAACCTATAAACCTAACCTAACCTATAAAACCTAACCTAACCTAACCTATAACCTAACTAACCTAACCTATAACCTAACCTAACCTAACCTAAACCTAACCTATACCTAACCTAACCTAAACCTAACCTAACCTAACCTATAACCTAACCTAACCTAACCTAACCTAACCTATAACCTAACCTATAACCTAACCTATAACCTAACCTAACCTAACCTAACCTAACCTAACCTACCTAACCTAACCTATAACCTAACCTAAACCTATACCTAACCTAACCTAACCTATAACCTAACCTAACCTAACCTAACCTAACCTAAACCTAACCTACCTATAACCTAACCTAACTATAACCTAACCTAACCTAACTAACCTAACCTAACCTAACCTAACCTATAACCTAACCTAACCTAACCTATAACCTAACTAACCTAACCTAACCTAACCTAACCTATAACCTATAACCTAACCTAACCTAACCTATAACCTAACCTATAACCTAACCTAACCTAACCTAACCTATAACCTAACCTATAACCTAACCTATAACCTAACCTAACCTAACCTAACCTAAAACCTACCTATAACCTAACCTAACCTAACCTAACCTAACCTACCTAACCCTAACCTAACCTAACTATAACCTAACCTAACCTAACCTATACCTAACCTAACCTAAAACCTAACCTAACCTAACCTAAACCTAAACCCTATACCTAACCTAACCTAACCTATAACCTAACCTAACCTAACCTAACCTATAACCTAACCTAACCTAACCTAACCTATAACCTAACCTAACCTAACCTAACCTAACCTAACCTAACCTAACCTAACCTAACCTAACCTAACCTAACCTATAACCTAACCTAACCTAATACTGTTATGATAACAGTAATTATAATGAAACATATTGATATTAATAATGATAATGATATTTGTGTGATGATAATGATAATGATAATGTCAATAGTAATAATAATGATGTGAACTAGAATTTACATTCCAAATTCTAAATTCTGAGTTTAGCTTGTTCATAGTTATTTATAAATAACTATTCCAGTTTGTCTATATTTATCTTGTAAGCAGTATACAGTTATGTATATTATGTGTAAGGTAATTGATAACAAGTGTGATATTTTGAGTAGCAGCTCAAATTGTGATATTGACTTATTGATAACAAGACACCCTTTATATATGCACAATCCACTGTGTTTTGTGTTATTTTGTGCAAAGATGGATGAAGCACGTGAAGCCATCCATCTATAAACAAAATTAAACAAAGCTTCAGTGGATGATGTATGCAATCAATGCCAGTAAGTTAATATTTGAGAACTTGATAAGGAAGACATTTAAACTTTTTTTTCTACTTATTGTATTGTTTTGCATGCTTCTCTATTGTAATATTTGATAATGAGGGCATTTAAAGTTTCTTTTTTTTTCTATTTATTGTGCTATTGTTGCATGCTTCTCTATTGTAAGTGTTTGAATGCATTATTTCAGAAAGCATTTCTTGTGTTTCAG